TAGATTTACTTGGGAGTTGTATGTTGTGTTTTGATCTTTGAAGTGTGCTCTGAGGAAAGACTGTTTCTTGTAACTTTTAGAGTCGTATATTATTTAGATTTGATGGCTGATTAAGTTGGTTTTACTTTTATAGGGTAAATGGTTTTGGTATCTCCTTCACAAAATGGAGTTCCTAGTCATGTGAAAAAATAGATGCCCTTGGTTGTTATGTGCACTGCTCTTAGTACTTTATCCCATGAGATTTGAGCATGTCACGAGCACAAAATTTGAAACCAACTACTTATATATTCTGTAAAAGTATTGGAATGGGGCTCAATATAATTATGACAAGCTGTGTATGGTTGATATATTTAAAAAACACCATTCTCTTGGCATATTAAGTAAGAATTCTTTCAATTGAAGAGAATTTTTGTCCCTTGTCTCATTTTCCTTCTTCTTTTCTTCTCTCCTTCCTTCCTTTCACTTTATTCTTCAAATTGAGTTTGCTTTGCATGCTTTAGGTTGCAGCAGTTGTCATAATGTTCCTTTCGGAACACTTAACTGTCATCACTCACTCAAAGTAATCATTCCTTAAGAACTGGTCAAAAGCTACCTTGCATTGCTGTTGGTATGAGCGTTGGTATTTGACACGATGATTTAGTAACCTATAAAGTGAGACTTTTAAGGACACTACATGTTATAGAACTTTGTAGAACTCACCTATACTAAACATTTTAGATGCTGATATAAGGTTTGAGCACCAACCTACGATTGCAACAGTTTAGTATTATTTACCTGGAAAGTTTATGTTAGTACCCAGTCAATATTCTATGCAGGAACGTAATCACTGCTGTGGAATGTCAATATAGAATTTGTTGTATCAATCTCAAACACTGTACATCATTATTTTACTCATTTCAAGTATTTGACGCTTTTTAATAGCAATCAACTATTTTGCCTATGGCAGTAAGGATGTAGGAAAACAGGTGACTGTCAATGTGCGTTGTTACTAATCAACTGAAATGCATTTTTTTTCATGGTCAGATAAGGAATATTCATCACTGTCACTCTTAACTAACGGAAAATAGAAATTCTCTAATTTTGGATGGGAACTAAAAGGCTTGGATTGTAATTTTTTTTCAATGTCAGATAAGAAATGAGGCTGACCAAAACCTACATATGTTTTTCTTATGTCTTTTTTCTCCTCTCTTTCTCCTCATGTTTTACTTTTCTAAAAATTAAAAACAAAAAAGAAAAAAGTGTAGTTTCTTCACCAGCCGCATCTTTAAGGAATCATTGTGAGGGCCAGGTTACATCCCTGTGACAGCTTATTGTGATCTGTCTTTTCATCAACCATCAATTCAACAGCTTCCAGAATGTAGCACATTAATAAGGAAGGAATTCAACAGTTTCAAATTCTTTTATGATCTGCAGTGCTTGTTTTTCAGTTCATGGTTATACTGTTTTGTAATGCAGGTATTCTAAAGAAGAAGACATGCATCTGGATGAATTTTGCCAAAGGAATTTCACCTATCTTCTGAAGTGAGTTTGTCATCATTCTATTTTATCTTTTTGTCTTAAAAATGTGTGCCAGAACATGATGCGTAAACAGATGTGATTTATGGAAAAAAATTTAGCTACGGCCATCTCAGGTATTTATTTTTTAAGATGTCGTCCCAACTCTGTAGTACACTGATGCAATTAGAGTGTAGCAAATAATATCCCTGTACATGAAAAAGGAAGGTATGTGTGGGCAAAAATGTTCAATTGTACTACAAAGATTCCATTTTTCTACATGGGTATTCCCCCTCCCTGTCAGCACACTAGAGTGTGCAAATGGAAACAGTGAGAGGAGAGTAGGCTGAATGCACATGACAAGGAGAGCAGGGCTATGTTAGTGAATAAGGTGCATGTAAGAAAAGGGTCACATATGGGTGATCTTGTAAGGGGTCGTTCAATACTTGGTGTATTGGAAAAAGTTTTAATTGTTGTATTGAAAGACGAGTTCAAGTTCAAAACTGGACAATTTCTGCCAAATAATGTCTAAGGTTAGGTTTATTTCCGGTGCAACCCTTCCAGCTCCGTACATAGGCGGAACCAACACTTGTAATGGACCTTCATTTGTTCTCTCTCTCTCTCTCTCGATTGGTTGTTCAGTGGATTGGAGGTGCCAAAGTATAACAGAGATGGATTATTGTTGCAAACGCATATTTGCAATTCTAGACTAATAAAAATTTGCAGACTTGAGATCGATTACCTTTTCCTTTTATTTTTTTACATACTAGTCTGAAATGTATCAGCAAATCTTGAATCTCTAATCTCATTTTTTTTTTTTCTTTCTTCTTTTGAATTGATTCCCAATATATATATTTTTCTTTGTATGATAGTGAGTACCCCAAAATGAATGGATTCAAGTGTTTATTTACTATAAACGAGTTCTCTAGAGCTCGTTTTCACAATGGCTTTCCACCCATTTTGCTGGTAAGTGGTCTTGCTTTATCTCAAAAATGTTATTTGCATAATACAGTTACTGCAAAACATTTGTCTATTCATTTACTGCAAAACATTTGTCTATTCATTTACTGCAGCTCAGAGAGCCCAAAGTATTTGTTCATGGAAATATTGCAAACACGGATGTTATGCATAGAAGTTGGCCAGGATGCTCTTGATTTATTGAGGATAGTATATAGTGTAAGAAATTGAAATGATCAATGAATTAGTATACAAATGATCAAAATTCCGACTCTCCAAAGTGCAGCACATCCTTCAATGGATATTGCCCCTAATTCTTATGGAAACTATATTTTTGTGAGAAATTTTCCCGTTTTGAGGTGTAAACATCAGGGTCCATCATATATGAGATTGACAACCCTTTTGAGCTTCATTGGTGTTAAATTATTGCATGAAAACATGTCAATAACTTGGTATATTTGGCTTGGGGTTTTGGGGTGGGTTACATTAAACTTGAAATGTCTCTGACAGATTGTAGTTGGAAGGTGTCTTGTCCCCATATGTCAAAGGTCTTTGTAATTTTTAAGAAAATGGTCACATAGAATTTTTTCTTTTTTCTCTATTTACAGTTTTACCGCTGTGAATGGTTATAATGAGTGTGAGTTCCTGAGTCCATTACATAAATTACATGCCCTTTAGGCTCTTACACCTTCGCGCGCGCGCACATGAATGCATTTTATTCTACTAAGAGAGTTCGTTTGATTTGCTAAAAAAAAAATAGATTATTCCTTGCGCATGCTGTGCTAAATTTGCACCTGAATTTACCTAAATGTGCCTTGCACTTCTCATTAATCTAGTTTTGGTCCCTCTTTAATCGTACCAGGCTCTGTTCATTGGGCCGAGTATATCGCTTGTTTTGTAACTATACACTTTTAACTTCCAAAAAATATTTATAAATGAAACAACCTATATTTATGCGGTTGCAAGTAAGCGGTGCAGTTGACAAAAAAGAGAGTTCTGTGATTCCATACATACAGATTCAAATGCTAACGTAACAAATATAAATAGCTGAATTAGACAGACGATTGACTTTGACAACAGTTTTTTGGGTTTTAGAAAATTAAAAACAGAAAACTCATACTTGATTCAGTTTTTTGAAAATTATTTTCTGAATTTTTTAAAACTGTTTTTTGAATTACAAACCAAATAGGCCTAAGATTTCTTGCAAGAAAACGCAGTATAGTTCTGGCATGTGACCAACTAGCAAGTTACTGTCCAATTCTCTAATTAATTAAGACATTTTAATTCAAACAGTAATTCATGTGAATTAAGTTCCCTCAACTAAATTTTCTCCTAACTAATTATTACAGCTTTCGGATTTGTTTCATATGGCAGAAAAACTGATCCGAGTAATGGTGTAATGGTGTAATCGACGTAGTTTCACCTCTTCCTTGACTGAAGGTTGAGAGTGGGTGTGTGTTTTTCCTACCAAAAAGAAAGAGACAGAACACTTGCTGTCAAATTCCCCACACCTAATAAGGACTAGATTTTCTTTATACTCCTCAATATTCATTAGTGACTACATAGAGGCTATTTTCTTCAAGAACTGCCCTAGCTGTTCTGCCCGACTGTCCTATAAGACTTTAGAAAGCCCCCACTTCCCTCCCTTTTAGCTACAATGATCATGATGCCATTTACAACTTTACTGTGGAAATCACCAAGGTTTTTTTCCACAGAGAGAGAGGGGGTACACCATCAGCTCATTGGCTCTTGAAACCAATACCAGAGCCAACATGATCAGCCATCTTTATGAATTGATCTAGCAGCCTTGAAAACTTCCCTAGAGATCTGTTTGCAATTGCTTACCATGAACAACCTAATATTAAAAAGATTTCCGATAAATCACCATTTGAATTTCCATCAAAGGATTTGATCTTGTCTAGTTTAATATAGTGTTAGTATTAATATTCTTAAATTCATTTACCCATAGAATAAGAACAAGGAGGAGATTCTTATGTTCCATATCTGTATAATTTTTTTGCATTGGGATTACTAAAGCTGGCATTCTTACCTTGTCAAAAGGAAATTGTTGCCATACTTAAGAAGGGCATTAGTCAGTGGATTCTCTCAAACTAATCTTTGTAAGAATCTAGCAGAGGAATACACAAAAAATCAGAATAGAAGTTAATTTTTTTGACATTTATAGCCTTGGAAAAATGGAATATATTCTTGTGGGAAGGGGTATCTGTATATCTTATATTTTTGCTGGTACTGGTTTTTATAAACTTGTATTTTAAAGTGCCTCAGTGCAGAAAAGTTTTGATATGATGCTTGTATTTCTTACGTTCTGCATAATATTGCTTAGCTGTTGTGTGCTCATTTTTGAAACCATAAGCTATATTCAAGGGCTAAAAATAAGTGCAGGAAAATAGAAAGAGGAGGGAAAAAAAGAAGTGAAATGAGATCCCTACTTAACAAGGCAGTAAAATTAAGATGGGGCAGCATTCTTTCCCATCTTGTTGTTGATGACTTTTGCTATAACTTCTCTATATATCTTAAGTAACCTTTAATTTCTTGTGGCAAATGTAGGATATGTGGCTGTACTTGGGAAGCCAAATGTTGGAAAGAGTACACTATCAAACCAAATGATAGGACAAAAGCTCTCAATTGTTACAGATAAACCTCAAACTATGAGGCATCGAATCCTTGGTATATGTTCTGGCCCAGAGTATCAGGTTTGAAAATTTCTATGTTTGATGTGATCATGCCTGATTTTACTTATATTGCACATACTTAATTCTCTTTGGTAGAAAAACTAAGCAGTAACATCTGAAGCAACCATTAAGGTGGACTCAATTGGTCAGGAACCACTCAGATCACCCTTGTGGACCTACAGGGGGAATGAGGGACATCAAATGATCAACTATTTTGCCTTGGAATCTTGGAAAATGAGCAATTGGATCAATGAAGCCATATTTGAGCAAAATTTGATGATGTTTTTTAAGTCAAGAGAGACTGTCATTAGGTTGGCAATGGAATACGTTGAAGCCAGTTGATCAGAGGGACGTGAAAGGTTCTGGAAAGAAAGGTTTATTGCTTGGAGCATATCACAATTGAATACGGGGAATGTGGTATGGACTCTTCCTTTAATACTGGGATGTGCGTGAAAATGTGCTTAGACAGCCATTGGCCTTTGAAGGGTTGAAGATGATGGAAGGGTGGGCCTCGAATAATGTTATTGTAGAAACAGATTGGTAGAGCACCCAATTTGGGACAAGCATGGATAAAACTCGTACTAGCTCTTCTACCAAAATTGATATAGGACACTAAGGACAGCATTGTAGAAGCTTCTTTAGGGCAGATTATAATTGATTCTCTTGCGCTTCAGGCTATTGGGTTTTTGTTTTTTAGCATCTGTATATAATGTGAGAAATGTTTATTGTCTTGGTGTTCTAAGAAGGAAAGGCAAAGTTCTGTTTTTTATAGTGGGGTTTTGTACTGTATTCAGTAACTAGGGGCTGTTTTTAGGGTTTTAAGTTTGAATGGTGAAATGGGGAAAGGGTTAGTGCTCATCAAATAATAAATTTAACAAATTAGGGTCTTAATGGCTTTAAAGTGCAGAAAATTTAAGAGAATAAGTAGAGTAGAAGGATAGGCAAATCACAACTAGATTTTCTAGGCATCATACTTTGGGTTAGAATTGCATCACACAGTCCCTGAGTTTCTCTGAGCTGAGCCCAATTGAATTTAAAGCATTTTAAAGCTATATACAAACTCTCAAGTAATCTAACTCTTAACATGACATGAACTGCATATTCAGATACTGAACAGTTTGACCAGAAAAACCTCGTATAAAGTCTGCTTATAAAGACTCAACAGCATAACCTGACTTAAACTTTGACTTGCAGACCTCTACTATGGCTAATGTCCAGAAAAACTTATAATTTACTAAGTAATCCTAAATCTTATATGGTTGTACTCTTTTTATTATGTTAGTCTCATAAAAGAAAACCAAGGAAAGAAATAAAAAGAAATTTTCGTATCTGATAGATTTGGTACATGTTTCATGCTTTTGAACACATGTTCCACAACATAGACCAAGAGTATATTTTTGTTTTCTCGTGGCTGTCTTATTTTGGTTTGCAAGGAGTGAAACATTTGTGCTTTGGAAACCTTTAGGCAGGTTCACTTTTTCCCTGACTGTCTCACTATTTACAGCTTGACCCGTGTATTGAGTTTTGCTGTTTATGAAAGGCCCCTATAAGCACGGACATGGGATACGGATACGACAAAATACAAACACAACAATATGACAATTTCTTAAAAAATTGGATATAGATATGACAAGGGCATGACATATATATATATTATAGATGCAAATATGTATAAAAATCAATATATATATATATATATATATAAGTGTCGATGGATAAATTTAAATAGTAATTTATTATGTAATATATATTGTTATTAACAATTCTTTATAAAATACTATGACCAACAAGATAGGAGTTGAGAGTTATGTTGCGTGGATAAAAATTTGGACTAAATTAGTCATGATATACATCTCAAATTCTCAACCATACTTCTTTTTTGAAGATGTTTTGAACTTTTCTTCACAATTATAATTTATACTATGATATTATTCTTGAAAAGTTACAGTTTAATGTGCAAAACTTGTTAAATATGTATTGTAAAGTATCTGAAAATTATCTGATACGTTATCAAATATCTGAGAAATATTGAATATGTTTTTTCTTTATAAGTAAGAAGTTATCAAAATATCTGAGAAGTATTGGATATGTGATGAAGGACAAGTAGGAACCAGATAGAAATAAAGGGATGAGAAAATAGAAGAAGAGATAAACTAGAAGAAGGGGATGAAAAAACAGACGAAGGGGGCTGAGAGCAGAGTGAATAGATAGGCAGGATAGACGGAATAGATGAGAAAAGCAGGAACATAAATGGGAGAAGTAAAAGAACACAGAGAGAACTCAGAGAAAGCAATAATCCAATAATGTTCCAAAACTGAGTTCTCAAATTACAAAGAAGCCTTTAAATAGGCAAATTATTAAGCAAATCCTAAAACATAAAAATACCATAATTCAAACATTATTAAAAGTAACAATAAGCATAAAAACCCTAAATTACTAAAATCCCTAATGTTATTTCTCTTTCCCTCTTCTCCAAAAGTAATGTTGAAGCATGTGCAACTCATGTATTTGAATCATATCATGTTCCCCATCAATATGTTTTAGAAAGAAAAAATAAATTTATAATTATAGATACATTTAGAAAGTATCGAACACATATCCGTAAGTATGATACGAGTACGTCACTCTTTTAGAAATTAGAAGTATCACAGAAAAGCCCCCTGCTGCCTCTCAGAGGTTCTGACTGTATTTTTCCATATGACTTTAATTTATAATTTTTCCTCGTGCTGTATCCCACTGCATACGTGTCATTGCCATTTATGATTTGAATTTTATGTCCCAAACATTGTTTACTTCCACAATTTGTTTTTGTGTGGATTTCCATGCAAGAAATATCTCATCATGCTATTTAAAATAATTTGTCTTAGCTGTGATTTACTTGTAGATGATTCTTTATGACACACCTGGAGTTATTGAGAAGAAATTGCACAAATTGGATTCTATGATGATGAACAATGTCCGTAGCGCTGCCATTAATGCAGATTGTGTTTTGGTGGTTGTTGATGCGTGTAAGGATCCCCAAAAGGTGCTTCTTCATCTGGAAAAATTGTTCTTAAAACATTGTCTCCCTTTCCTAAATATATTTGTCTGCTTTTAGATTGATGAAGTGTTGGAAGAGGGTGCGGGAAACCTCAAAGATAAGGTACCGAAATTACTGGTTTTGAATAAGAGGGACCTGATCAAACCTGGTGAAATGGCAAAGAAACTTGAGGTTAGAACTTGTCAGTATCTATTATTGTGTAGCCTGAATAGCTACACTTTTTTTTGTAGCTTGACGTATCATTGTTAATGTAACAAAAACAAAACAAAAAAACAAAAAAAACTGGTATATGGAATGTTATGTTTATAATCTCTAATTTATAGGTCCCAAATACTGTTCTCGTCATAACAGAAATCCATGGTCACTCTTCACTGGTGGCATAAGGTGGGTACTTAAGTTGTATCCTAATTCGACATTGTATATCTTGCAGTGGTACGAGAAATTCACCGTTGTTGATGAGGTCATACCAGTGAGTGCTAAATATGGTCATGGAGTGGATGATGTCAAGGACTGGATACTATCAAAACTTCCAGTTGGGCCAGCTTACTATCCGAAGGTATGTAACGAGTCCACTTTTGTTCTTGTTGTCTTCCTTCTCCTTGAAAGATGAAGACTGGTAATCTTTTAAAAGCATGTTTTTCTAATTATCATAATTCCAGTGTAACCATTTACCAACTGTTGGAAATTAACAACTTGAACCCTTTGGTTGTTTGTATTCCATGATGCAAGGCACATTGCCTCCTCAAAAGTACATGATGAAAACGAAAAGTAAAATAAAAATTGAAAACTCAGAAGAGGGATAGAAAAGGAAGGAAGCAATTTGAACTTGTAGCATAAGAACTATGTCAATTTCTATATTGGTTGTTCATGACTGAAAGAAGCACACTATGTTAGTCTTAAACTTCTTCCATCTGATGAATATACAAAAATTTATAGATGTAGTCTTAAGTTTAGCTTCAAATTAGTGCCTGTGAGCCCTAAAAACAGATATGGTTAAGCATCTTTCATTTTACTCTTAAGACCGTGTGCCTTGAGAGGGGTTGAATGAGGTTGATAGCTGGCAGGATTTTTGGTGAAATTACTTGCATATATCTAAGATTAGTTGTTCAAATGCTGGCGTTTACAAGTCCTCGAATTAGTTTGATTAGATGTTACTTTGGAAGCTAAATCAAGATAAAAAGTGAAATTGAAGTGGCTACATGTTGCTTTGTAAAGCTCATAGATGACCTAGATTATCCCTGGAATTTCTATTGGCTACTTCGATTTGTAATCGAGTCACCCTCAGTTTGAGTCAGTGTTGAGAAATAATATATGACAAAGGAGTAAAACTGTACTTTCAGATTGGTATAGTAATAATGTAAATGGAGTGTCTCTCAGGTTTTGCTCCTTCCGTTTCCTTTCTCTTATTCCAGGCAGGATAGATACTTGATATGACAGAAGAGCAGATATCCAATTAGGCAAACACATTTTGTCCCCTCCTCTATTTTTCCTTTCTTCTTGACCCTTTTTTTGTCGTCATAACGTAAAAGGTCTGAGTTTTTGGGAAAAGAAGGGTTCTGAGTTTTGTAACAATCTGGGAATGATAGATACTGTACTCCAGCCTGAGTGAAAGTGTTGAGAAATGATATAAGGTAGAGGGATAAAATTGTAATTTCAGTTTGGTTTAGAAATGATATTGAGAGATTAGAGCAACCCTTGACAGGGATTATGCTCTCTCAGTTTTTCCTTTTTCTTCCTCTCTTGTATTAAGGTACCCAAGACACCTGATGGTTATATTAAGAAGTTTCACAGAGCACATAGAGAAATGTTAAAAAAAAACTGTGACCTGACATTTCTTTCCCCTATAATAAACAAGTTGTGCAGTATATACTTCATTGACAGTAGTATTAAAATTTTTTTTTGAGAATTGTTTGAAATCATTATATATGGAGTTTCTAGATTAAATAGGACATGCATGACAAGCCTTGCAGGGAATGGGTTGATCAAAATGCCTTCCACATTTTCTTCTAGTCCATTACAATTTTTTTGGGATAAATTTTGAGAACATAAAAATGCATCAAGGAATATGTTGTGAAAGATCTCAACGGTTGTAGGTTTGGCAATGACTGAAGCTTTTACTTATGGGGTTTTGGCTTTAATTTTGATCACCTAGCCAATATCATTTAGAATAAATTAATTTCCCTACTTGTTTCTGACTATCCATGTCTCTCATCTTAAGATGAATATACTGTACATTTTCTTTTCTTTTTACTTTTTTTGACTTGACAATTTGATATATAAAAATCGTTTGTTGCATATTACAACTTACCATTGCTTTCCTTGTGTTCTCAGGATATTGCTAGTGAGCACCCAGAAAGATTTTTTGTAGCTGAAATTATCAGAGAAAAAATCTTTATGCAATACCGAGACGAAGTTCCTTATGCCTGTCAGGTATACCTAAATTTTTTGAAAACCTAAAGCTTCTTATTATTATTTAAAATTTCACTTGGTGCTGTTTATATTTTTTCAGAAGTTTATATCTAACAAAGAAGTGTGGTTGATCAATCTTTGAATTGTACAGGTCAACGTTGTCAACTACAAAACTAGACCAACTGCAATAGATTTTATTCAAGTTGAGATTATTGTTGAGAAAAACTCACAGAAGATCATCCTCATCGGAAAGGTAAGTTAAAGCTTTCTTCAATGGGATACTTTTTAATATGAATTAATAATTGGCTTCTTTGTGTGTTCTCATGAAATGGTGGGATTAGATTTTTTTTTTTTTTTTTTTACTAGTTGGTACTCACACACACTACCTCCACTGAGGTTCGAACCCTTAACCTTCCTTTGGGAAGTAGGGGCCTTGTACCGCTAGGCCACAGGCCTGTTGGTGGGATTAGATTGTTGAGATTGTCTTGGCTTTAACAAGAAGTTGAGCAGCTTAAGGAGAGGGGAGGACTGAGGAGGAGGTGTATTTCATGAAAGAGGAAGTTACCAAGAGTCAAAAGGTTCCTTACCAAGTATCTAGGATTTAGTCCTCTTGGACCAAGGCCAATTGTGCTTTATTAGGACTTCCACAGATGTGTGGTATTGGAAGTGGTTGGCTGCTCAGATATACTGCTGTCTGGAGCCAATCACTAGGCTTACAGAGCTGTCCATGGCAAGGCCTGTAAGGGAGCCGATGCAGGACTTGTAGGGTCAGCAATAGTGGAGTTACTCTGAAACTGCAAAGTAGTTTGTGCATCAACAATGATGTGGAAATCATCCTGGGGATAATGGAGAATTCTCCATCCTCTTAGGGAAGCTGGAGTGGCTAGATTCTTGTGTCAGGTGAGAGTTGCACTGCTTTCCCTGAAATCCATCTAATCAGTTACCAAATTAAGGTCATCAAATCTAATACACACACACACTTGGCAGTTGTCTAGGAGCAAGGTACAGCCTCTTGAAGTAGAATACGTTTGAATTGGGCATTTGGGACACAATACTTTGGCCTGTGTCTCTAGGCAGGGAGACCGTATCTTTTTTTGTGACAAACCACATGGTAGGCTGTGATTGGTCACATGGTAGTGCAAGGAATGGGCTGTCTACAATAATTCTAGATATTCTGTTGGCCTATGCTTATTTTATCTGCATGGTAGCATGTAGTATTATTACTAGGCCTGTATGGAATCTATAAGACTACTATTCCTTGGGTTTTAAAAAAGAAAAAGTCCAGACTTGGAACTTTGTGACTGCTTGAACTTCCAAATTTCTATGCTTTATGTTGTAAATCTCTTTCATTAGTGTCTACCTTTGTCATCGTTTGTTTTATATTTAGCTTTAGTTTGTATTGGAAATTACAGTGTAATTCACCCTAATCCTTGAAAAGGTTTTACATTTGATCAGACATCGATGACAGTCTTGTTTGAAATTATAGTGACATCCCAAAACACTTTCAAGATGCTTAACCTATTTGTTGAATGATGTGACAGTGTTCAAAATATTGAAATGTTGAGAATCCTCCTATATTATTTGAAACTGGAATGGCATGTTTGAAATTATATGTGTGTGTCTGTGATCACGTGTGTTCTGAATTTCTACAGGATGGGAAAGGTCTGAAACTACTGGCTACAGCTGCTCGGCTTGACATTGAAGATTTCTTGCAGAAGAAGGTTTTTTTGGAGGTACCAACAAATTTTAAGTTTTTTTTTTTTTTATCACTGAGCGGTTGTCACGAATATATTTAATTAAGAATTACTGGTATCCCAAGTTCCCAACTAAATAGTGCAGACCATACTGTCAGTGACAGTGATTTAAGCCTGCTGATTTCTTGCTGCCAATTGTTCCAAGTGGTCGGTTTTAATAGTTTTGAGTTGGAAATGACATGTTCAAGGCAACTCATTTATCGAACAGGTTGAAGTGAAGGTAAAAGAAAATTGGCGGCAAGATGAAGGACTTCTGAAGCATTATGGATATGGAGGGCCAATTCGAGCATTATAATGCTGTGTTTCCATTGCACTCGATACAAATTGCAGTGAAGATGATCGTGTAATTGGAAACTCATGATTTAGTGTGCATTAAGTGATTATGTGATGATGTTTCTTATTTGGTAGTGTGATCAAGTTGGAAATTGCAGAAGCTTGTCATCGATCTTCTCAATAGCTGGAGTCAGGTACTGTAATATTCATTGTGAATCGCTCTTAGGCCACGGTGTTGGGTACCGCACAGTATTGTATTTTCTTTACTATTTTGGTGTTAGTTTTAGGTATCTTCTTTCCCTTTCCCTTGGCATTACGTCAACGTGGATCACGTCACTTTTTTATTTGGCAAAATTTTTTGGTCTTCGATTATCCAAAGTGAGGTCATTACCCCCTTAGTTGGTAAGGCACTTAGTTCTCTGATTGGGTGTGCCCGTGTTCGAGTCCCTCCCCTAATTTGTCGGGAAAAAAAAAATTACTGGCTTAGGTGGCTAATCTCTGATAGTTATGCTTGCATGGAGATGGAGCCATGGACTCGCATCAGTCTTTGTTATCCTACAACTGCTTCTCCGGCTTGTACTTCATGGACTAATTTATTCTTTTGTTAAAACGTAGTCAAGTTTATGGAACCAACCCTGCTTGCAATACGAATATCATTTATGTTACTTCTATTTTTTATTTATTTGGAGCATGTAGATTTCTTGAAGAAAAAATTAAGATGGTTTGTTGACTTCAATAGCATGTTCTTTAGGCTCTTCTGTTTTGAAGTAAAATATTTTTAAAAATATATATATATATATATGTATATATATATTTTGATGTTTGGTTGTCGTAAAATATGTACAAAGAAAAAAAAATATTAAAACCTAACAAAAATAACTTATCCATTAATTTTTGATAAATTATTTTATACAACTTACCTGATGGAATTCACCTAGACTTTTGCTGAACATATAAAAAAAAATAAAAAATAAAAAATAAAAATAAAAAAAATTGCTGGAAGATAGATTACAGTAAAACAAACTAGTCCAAGTTTGTTAAGTGAAGAGAAGATAATAAAATAGGGGAAAAAGAGGTGATCGCAATCTAGTCCAAGTTTGTTTATTGGGGGATGCAATGTACTCAACTTGTTCCGGAAGAGAGAAGAGACAAGAAAGCTTAAGAACTTTATTGATTTGGTCAGAAGATATGATCCTCATTCATAGCCCCACTTATATTTGGTTTTTATTGTTGTACTTGTATCTAAATTACCCCACTTTTGAGGTGCCAGTTTTCATGGACCCCCAATGCTAGTTTTGTTTCTTTTCTCTTCCATTCTTTCCTCTTAAAGGGCAATCTCAATGCATAAGGATCGGAGTTTAGATATTTTCGTATGTCCGAAAACTATTTCCGCTATAACCTTTGGTCACAATGGAACATAATTGAAATTCAAGGATTGGTGAAAATTGACGATAAGAGTTTAAAATTGATTTGTGTGCATGTGTCTGCAGAATCAGCACTAGGTTTTGCTTCGAGGATTCTGGAGAATGGATTGTGGCAATGGAATTGGAAGAAAATGAGTCTCTGTGATTGGAACAATTATAGGTGAGACGATGGATAAGGTTGAGAGATAGGTTGAGCCATTGAGGAATAGTAGGGTTTGTGGAGAAGTCATCATCTTTCTTATTTTTGCTTTTTTTTTGTTGTGAGAAATCCGAGAGAGAGATTATCTTACCATAGATGATCCTAGAGTTGAGTGAATTGCCTAAATTTATAGTATCATATATATATATATATATAGATATACATAAATAGATCGGACCTAAGCTGACCAAATTAATGTAAAGTTGGGTTGAGTTTGAGTCGAGTTGAAGTGATGTGTGTGTGGCTGTGGCGTGCATCTTTTCTGTGTTTACTATAAATAGTTCTGATGTTTTCCTGCTATTTACTTTGTATAGAGATGACACGGCATCTGAGGCAACAAAGGACGAAAAGGCAGAGGTGGGTGTGGGGTTCTGTTTCTGCTGCTATTACACTTGGCACGGCTACCTTAGCATGGTCTTCTTACCAATCAACTGTAAATTGATCATCTTCTTACCACGACCATGCAACCGAGTGATGACCTTCCAATCGAATTGCTAGCTGAATGTAATACTGCATAAGCAAGTCAACAAGAGGTCAGACATGCCATCTTGTGAATACCACCAATGTCGAGCTATTCTTTTTCTTGTTGTTGCATGGTTTCTGTGCCGTAGAGCCTCTATGCAATCAGATGATTGGGGAATAGGTAAAGTACTTGGAAACATTCAAATCTGCTGGATGTTTCTTCAAGTAGTTACTGAACTAAGGAATAGATAAAATGTCCTGCTCGTGGAGAGGGCTTTTGGATTCAACTGATACGTCACTCGTTTGCATCTCTACTTTACGGTCCAACTGATGTGTCATGCCTCTCTGAGTAGTGCTATCTGGTCCAGAGCATCTTCAACTCAGCATGGGGTTATGCAACCAAAGATGATGACTCAAAAGAATCAACAGCTGGTAGGGTACGTCTATAATTACCTTTGCACAGCTTTAGCATGGGTGCTAATTTGAAATATTTATGATTCTGTATTTTTTAACCTTTTGAGTACAATTTACTTTAATTTTATTGTAGCTCAATTCCACCAGTCTAACAAAATTTAATTGAGGTGTTAATGTGTTGATTTCCCACCCACTTACTGGGTCACTGCTGGAATAAGATCAACCTTAAATCTGAAGGAATTTTTTTTTTAATTGGCCTAAATCATCTTATTTGAGAAAATGTTGGATTGTATGATGATATCCATCCGGTTGGTGAACCAATATAGCACTCGGGACAGGTGCTAAAGGTCAAATTAAATACTCCAAGATATATATATATATATACATCTATTTCCGATGAAATGCAGATGTCTGCCTGACCCAGTTTGATTGTGTAGATTACTTATATGGGAGATATCAGATACGGTAATGGTGGCAAATGGCAATGGACCTGGCTGGCTGCCATTGTTTCTCTTCATAATACTGCTTGGTTTCAGGTGTCACGTCCTGGAAGAGACTTGGTGAAGAAAAGATGTTTGCAACGTAGAGGTTTATGGAGTACTCATCCCACTGCTTGCTTGCGGGAAGTAGTTTCTGATGCTTCTGATTCTTCACCTCTCCGATCAATCAGGCATTTATGGAGTACTGTTTGGTCTTGTTGCTGATACATGTCCTCTTGTGGGTTTATATAGCTAGGAAGAATAAAGGCGGAGAAGAGCATAGTCTAAAATAAGTTAAAAAAAGTTTGAAAATAATGAAAAAATTGTTGATTGGTAATAAGCACCTATTGGCTTTTAATTGTTCCTTGTAGTTCAAATTTACTTCCATAAATCTCTATTTTGCGGCTGAGAATATGCTGCTCAATTGATCCCCAACTTATAATGAGAATTTTCAAACCAGAGTAAAAATAATTTATATTATTAAAATGCAATTTGGGCAGTTAATCCAATCCTAATATGAGTTGATGCCAATTTTTTGAGAAGTGGTGTGGTGTGTTCAATCAAAATTTAAAGGTGTCAATAATCATTTGAGCCTAGGGGCACAAGAAACACATACGTTTGCTAACCGTGTTACCAACTCATTCTAATTCTGATGCCTCAAATCTCTCATTCATTTTCTCCCTCTGGATGTATTCATGTTCTCTCACGCCTGAAATAAATGGTTTCCTTATCAATATAACTCTATACACTTAAATCCCCAAAATCATAAAACACACTTAGTAGACACAAACTATATATATATATATATTTCCTCTGAAAATAAAATCTATTAAAGGATAATTTTTGAAATCATTTAAATGGACATTAGTTAAAAACACCTCTGAAAATAATAGAGGTGAGTTTTTTTACTAAAAATATTGATAAGAGAATTTTTCGCAACTATCTAATAATGGAGGATTTTTATTTTACAATTTGTCCAAAAATTTTAGATCAAGTGATATGTCCTAAGTTAGAATCTTACTCCCACGAGAATTAGTACGCACACGTTACTAATTTGACATTTCATAAGCATGCATATGAGATACTCCAATTAATTTATTAATTTTTTTATTTAGATTTATTTTTCCAAATTCTAATGTCAAGTAATGATTATAACGATAGTATTCTAAAAGATTAAGGATATGAAACAGTAAAAATTGAATTAATTTTATTTAAGTAGAGAGTAATGTCATAATATTAATGGTATCATAGTAATCAGCTCCACTTATATGTATAATATTAAAAATTAATAAAGAATAACTATATAAGAGGAATTTATAAATAAACAAATTATTAGTGGATTAAGAGATTTCCTATTTTATCCTATGCTTTTTTACTTCCAAACCAAGATACCATTAAGGTAACTTTTTACTTTAATTTCCTAAAATTATAGACTAACCGCCTTCGATTCCCTCTCTCTTATCCATCTGCGCCTAATCTGTCTCCTCTCTGCCAAATTAGTAGTAACCGCCTTCAATTCCCTCTCTCTCTCTTCTTCATCTGCGCCTAATCTGTCTCCTCTCTGCGAAATTAGTAGTAACCGCCTTCAATTCCCTAACCCTCTCTCCTCCATCTGCGCCTGACTCCTTTTTATTCGCTTGCTGAGCATGACTTCTTTGTCACAAATAGAAAGTCGAATCCATCGCATCAAATAGAAGGGACGAATCATTTACTTATTCATTCATTGAGCACTGGCCTGATCCAGTTCCAAGAAACCAACCCTATAAGAGAAGGTATAGTTGGCTGTACTCATTCTTACCTCTTAGTGATCACTCATCAACCCCAAGCAGGAAAGGCCTTCTTTGTACGGCGAATCGCCAATAGAATTCAAATCTGACTGTGGTCCATACTTCGCATCCAAGGGGCACTCCTGCCCATAGAGCATCATCTTTCTCCCCCATCTGCGCCTGATCTCTCTCCTCCATCTCCGGCCCTCTTCTCTGCTATGGCCGCCACCACAAAAAAGCTCTATGTATGGGTTAACGGCTATGGTAATAACGGAGGTGATGATGGTAAGTATCTGCCTTGCATCAACGTCGAATTCAACTTCCGTGTGGAGCAGACTTATCAAAGCAGAACCAGAGGCCTCATCACCCGACACGGTATCGGAGAGATCTCATCACGACGTCCATACAAGTACTTCACCTATGATTTGCTCTACACAATGATCCATGGCATGAAAATCCCCTTCCCTTTAGAGAAGATGCTCTGTGAGCCAACTGAGTTGGAGAACACCAACGACCTAATCCTGCATGTTTTGGACGTGGCTAGTTGCACGGTCAATAGATTTTGCAACTCCGGTCAGAAGCTATTCAGATTGGACATATACATTGTTAATAGACTGATTTTACCCCATGCTGAATTTGAAGCAATAAACCTTGCAAAGGAGCAGGTAGAACGTTGGTTTCAACTTCATCAGAAGGTTAATCAGATGATACTGTCCAAATCATTTTCGGACTTTGGTTTGATCCACGGGGAAATAGGAAGAATAGTGAGGGAAACAGCTCATGATCAAGATTTGGAATTGTCATTGTTGGAACTAGCTATGAGGGAGTACTTTCAGGAGACAGTAGAGCCCGTGAGATTTGAAGGTGACATTGATGATCATGGTGAGGAGGAGGAGGAAGTACTCTGTGTTATATGTAAGGATGAAATCCTCGTTGGGTCTCGAGTCATTCGGATGGCATGCTCTCGTATCTACCATGTCCAGTGCATCGCAGAGTGGCTGCCATTGTGTCGCTTCAAGTCGTCAATCAACAAGTCTGAGGTATCTTAGTAGTTAGTGGTAGCATATATGGATTTCAGTATTTGTAATTAAACACAAGAACAGGGTGCTCTGTACATTCATAATTGTGAATTACTGACTTCAGTGTAAAAGAATTAGTATAGTTTTGGTCAATATGGTTACGAGATTATGGATTGGATTCATTGTTTAATTTGCTCTCTTCAAATGGGCTTTTGGATCGTTTCTTTTTTCTGGGTTGCATATGTATGGAATAGAAAGTGGTTCACTGTATTGCCATGGTTTAAAGTGTTTAATACGTTAACTATGTTGGAAGTTATATATCTCACAAACTAACTTATCAACAACAAAAAAAATCACACCTTTGTTTTTATTTAATTTGAATCAATTGTGCGTGGATATGAATTTGGCACATTAATCCAAATTAAATCCACATTTCAATGCAACTTTAGGATCCCATAATTGGATTGTTAGAGAATGTTAGTGACATCCTTGATTGGATTTTATATAACGTAGCTAGCTAATCCGATTTCTGATTAAATTGACTTATGGAATGCTCCACCTATAGAGCTCAGAATTTCCTAGTATGAGAGTCATCTTAAGAATCTCACTCAACATACATTATCTCAGACAAAAGGTGCTTTCAATTTTTAATATGCCAAATCTTTTCTTAAGAGGAAAAATGTACGGATCTTTTCTGCTAGGGATCATTTATGATCTTTAGAGGAGCTTCACACACATTTCAGCTTGAACTGTTACAATATTAATGGAACAATTAAATTCTGCAAACATGAAATTTTTAATCTTCTGAAAAGTGGTTCATTCTACTGCTATATATCGATCAGCCCTCATCAGAACTATCATAAAAAATGTTCCACTCGCAAAAGAATACCATAGATTAATCACACATGCAGGGGATGGGGGTACATGAGTATGAGCCTCACACAAGATATAGACTATTATCCATTTTGGTTAATTGCCAAAACTTTCCTACCAGTTCAAACTTAAAGGAGGCATTAGCAGGTTACCTCTGCTCTTCATTACTGATACTGTCTCTTACTTGTTACGCACATTGCTCTTGTAATTAGGAAGGGGGACTTTGCCTGACTCAATGCATTTGATGTCGCTTAGAAGCATCTCATATTGCATCGTTACTTCCTCCACACTTTTTCCACCAACGGCCTTGGCTATGTTGTGCCACCGGTCAGGGGTATCCTTATCATATATTGCAAGAGCGTTCTCAAACAATTTATTCTGCTTGGCTGTCCAATTTGAGTTGGGAAAGCCGGAAGGATGACTGGATGCCATTTTATAGCAGATTTATTAGAGCGAGTTTAGATGAGGAAAATGGTGGGAGCAAATTAAGAATTAAAATGTCGATTATTTGCCGACAAATGAAAGGAAGTGAATGGAAAAGCCAACAGAAAGAGGTGTGGAAGGCTAGCTTTACTGAGTTTGAGCAAATGTAGAAGACTCTGGTGAAGGGATAATGAGTGAAGATATGTCCGTTTTAACAATTTCAATTCCAAGATTCGTTCATACTTATGGTAGGAGGGAACCTTAAGTTATTTAGGAATATTTAATCTTCTATTAGACACACATGATGCTGATGTATTGATTCAACAGTTTAACACACAAATCCGTATTCATTGCATGTCATTTCTAACATGGATATGTCACCTAGTGGTGAAGTGCTCATGTAAAACATTTATTACTCAACTTCACAAAGACCTCATTGTCGGTCTTAGCACCTTTGGCTTGAAGCCTTGAATTAATCACTCCTAATTAGTCTTGTCATCTATCTTCCACATGACTATCATCCGAGCTGCCCTTAAACAGTAATCAGATGCTGATGGGTGAGGTGGGGTTGGGGTTGGCCTCAGGTCCTGATAGCTTGAAGGACCATCCATCTCAGTCAAGTTTCTCTCTTCTTGTTCCAGATTGGTGCCACATTTAACTTTTCACAAATTTTTTCCTTTTTCCCTTTTTAGTTCTATCCTTGTCTTGGTACACAGTTTCAGTATTTGTCTATTGGTTTTGCTGAGTTATGGATATTTAGTTGACTTCCAGCTTTCTTTATCATTGAGTATGGTCTTAAAACCATCTCGTATTATTAGAATCTATAACAAATCTCGTAATGAAGAATCCAGGAGATTTCACCAAATTTTTTTGTATCTGGATTTGATACTTTTTGAATGGATATGGCTTTCATCTAGAAGTGTTTATGTAACGCTTTTGCTGGCTTGCTTGGATGAAAATTTAGAAAGTTAAATATGTATTGTAATTTTCAATGTAATTGTAGCTTCTTGATGTTCAATTATCCCAAATATTATGTCCTTTCATTTTTCAAGAAATCTGGTATTGGATTTTGCAGTTTCTCTATTTTGACTTGTAGAAAACTTTTATTAATTTCTGATTTCAACTTTTCACAGTTACAAAATAGGAAAAAGAGATTCTGGAACTCGCTTTATATTGCTCTGCTGGGAATGCTCATTGTCAGGTTGGATGAGTATGCACATTCCGTCATTAGAAATTTGAATTACTTCATCTGTCGATGCTTATTGTTCATTTTGTAGTCTAGTGTGCACCGTTATAATGTTTATGGCATCATATGAGAACTATCCTAGTGGTTATGCACTAAAAGATTTGCATCGGATGGGTGAGCTCTCTCTCTCTCTCTCTCACACACACACACAAGCATCTTATAAGCCATTGTGTTCATTGCCACGAAGTAGACATTCTCTGTGTATTAAATGCTGATGTGTGTTTTTTGTCCTTTCCGAAGACCTGCTTGCTTAAGTGCACCTTTAATAACTATGCATTCGACCATGGAATTACATTTGAAGGCATGATACATACTTAGAAGAAGATCCTTCTATTGCACGATCTCCTTTGTTATCATAGCTTGAATGAGGTACAAATGTGCAATTAAGGAATTAGTAGTAGATGAAAAATAATTTACAAATAATGAATTGCAATAGATGGAGAGAGGAAAGATTAAGATAAAAATAAATAAACCAAGGGGTTGGCCTAGTTGGAAAAGACTTGGGCCCTGGTGCCTCATGAAACATCAGGTCTCAGGATCGATTCGTGTTAGCTGCAAACAATTCCTTGGAGGGGGGGTGTGTGAGTACCAACTAGGGGGAAAAAAAAAAGGTTAAGATAAAAAGGTAATGGTATTCTCCCACTAGTGCTACTTCTAAGGTTTGCAAAGCTGACTACTCTGATTGAAACCAAATACAACTTTATATGTGTGTTGCTAGGTTTGAGCGAGCAAAAACAATTGAAAGGTTATTGGTATTTCAAAATCATGTGGTTATAAGGAGCTTTATATGTAAAATCTGTATAACATTGTCTCCAAGTAAAGCTTTAATAAGATAACTAAATGAACCTTAAAACATACTTAGTGAGACAAGTTGAAAGGTTTAATATATCCAGAGGTGAACCACTCAAAAGAAAGGGTCCTGCTAACTTCTCTCTCTCTCTCTCTCTCTATATATATATATATATATATATATATATATTTATATTGTTTATTCTTTCTGATATGTAAAGAAGATAATCGGAGCCGTCTAACAAACCATAATATTTGTCACCTAAAAATAGAAAGTATTGTGAAAGTTGGTGCGAGTCTTGGAGTAATATTTTACAGACTATTATACAACAAATATATTGTAAAGCAATTGACGTGCTTTACCATTCAGTATGTACGTAAAAGAAGCCGAGACAGTGTACATTCATCTAACTATTTGTCAATCTTGAATAGTTTTTTGAATCATCTACATTTTCAATATTAGCCAACTATTCAGATACAGAAATCATTTTTGTGTTTAAGTTGTTAGTTTGCATTTGCATTCAATTCTGGTTGTGTGAGTGTATTTGAATTGCATTATTCAGTGAAAATTGATATGATTGTTCTGGCAGGCTATGCCACAAACAATTCAAATGAACAGTGGGTCCACATAGACTCCTTCTCAGCGATGAATGGAATTTCTCTCTTTTGTGAAAATGATTTCCCATGGAGGTATACTTGATTCGACTTATTTGTATCGTCTCTTAAATTCCATGACGGTCTTTATCTATTTCAGTGACTGGTTTCTTAGGACAGTTTTATCTATATCAAAATAGTGGATCGTCCCTTGGGTGTAAGTACCAAGTCGTAAATAGTCATGGTGATATATTTATTTATCTTGGACGTTATACACGATTTGTTGGAAAAACTGAAAGATTTTTTTTTTTGATAAGTAGAAAAACTGAGAGATTTTACAGTTTATGTTGTAACATTTCCTCTGCAGGTGGTGTTGTTGGCTTGTTTTTGCATTCCCTTTGTCCCTAGATTTACTTGGGAGTTGTATGTTGTGTTTTGATCTTTGAAGTGTGCTCTGAGGAAAGACTGTTTCTTGTAACTTTTAGAGTCGTATATTATTTAGATTTGATGGCTGATTAAGTTGGTTTTACTTTTATAGGGTAAATGGTTTTGGTATCTCCTTCACAAAATGGAGTTCCTAGTCATGTGAAAAAATAGATGCCCTTGGTTGTTATGTGCACTGCTCTTAGTACTTTATCCCATGAGATTTGAGCATGTCACGAGCACAAAATTTGAAACCAACTACTTATATATTCTGTAAAAGTATTGGAATGGGGCTCAATATAATTATGACAAGCTGTGTATGGTTGATATATTTAAAAAACACCATTCTCTTGGCATATTAAGTAAGAATTCTTTCAATTGAAGAGAATTTTTGTCCCTTGTCTCATTTTCCTTCTTCTTTTCTTCTCTCCTTCCTTCCTTTCACTTTATTCTTCAAATTGAGTTTGCTTTGCATGCTTTAGGTTGCAGCAGTTGTCATAATGTTCCTTTCGGAACACTTAACTGTCATCACTCACTCAAAGTAATCATTCCTTAAGAACTGGTCAAAAGCTACCTTGCATTGCTGTTGGTATGAGCGTTGGTATTTGACACGATGATTTAGTAACCTATAAAGTGAGACTTTTAAGGACACTACATGTTATAGAACTTTGTAGAACTCACCTATACTAAACATTTTAGATGCTGATATAAGGTTTGAGCACCAACCTACGATTGCAACAGTTTAGTATTATTTACCTGGAAAGTTTATGTTAGTACCCAGTCAATATTCTATGCAGGAACGTAATCACTGCTGTGGAATGTCAATATAGAATTTGTTGTATCAATCTCAAACACTGTACATCATTATTTTACTCATTTCAAGTATTTGACGCTTTTTAATAGCAATCAACTATTTTGCCTATGGCAGTAAGGATGTAGGAAAACAGGTGACTGTCAATGTGCGTTGTTACTAATCAACTGAAATGCATTTTTTTTCATGGTCAGATAAGGAATATTCATCACTGTCACTCTTAACTAACGGAAAATAGAAATTCTCTAATTTTGGATGGGAACTAAAAGGCTTGGATTGTAATTTTTTTTCAATGTCAGATAAGAAATGAGGCTGACCAAAACCTACATATGTTTTTCTTATGTCTTTTTTCTCCTCTCTTTCTCCTCATGTTTTACTTTTCTAAAAATTAAAAACAAAAAAGAAAAAAGTGTAGTTTCTTCACCAGCCGCATCTTTAAGGAATCATTGTGAGGGCCAGGTTACATCCCTGTGACAGCTTATTGTGATCTGTCTTTTCATCAACCATCAATTCAACAGCTTCCAGAATGTAGCACATTAATAAGGAAGGAATTCAACAGTTTCAAATTCTTTTATGATCTGCAGTGCTTGTTTTTCAGTTCATGGTTATACTGTTTTGTAATGCAGGTATTCTGAAGAAGAAGACATGCATCTGGATGAATTTTGCCAAAGGAATTTCACCTATCTTCTGAAGTGAGTTTGTCATCATTCTATTTTATCTTTTTGTCTTAAAAATGTGTGCCAGAACATGATGCGTAAACAGATGTGATTTATGGAAAAAAATTTAGCTACGGCCATCTCAGGTATTTATTTTTTAAGATGTCGTCCCAACTCTGTAGTACACTGATGCAATTAGAGTGTAGCAAATAATATCCCTGTACATGAAAAAGGAAGGTATGTGTGGGCAAAAATGTTCAATTGTACTACAAAGATTCCATTTTTCTACATGGGTATTCCCCCTCCCTGTCAGCACACTAGAGTGTGCAAATGGAAACAGTGAGAGGAGAGTAGGCTGAATGCACATGACAAGGAGAGCAGGGCTATGTTAGTGAATAAGGTGCATGTAAGAAAAGGGTCACATATGGGTGATCTTGTAAGGGGTCGTTCAATACTTGGTGTATTGGAAAAAGTTTTAATTGTTGTATTGAAAGACGAGTTCAAGTTCAAAACTGGACAATTTCTGCCAAATAATGTCTAAGGTTAGGTTTATTTCCGGTGCAACCCTTCCAGCTCCGTACATAGGCGGAACCAACACTTGTAATGGACCTTCATTTGTTCTCTCTCTCTCTCTCTCGATTGGTTGTTCAGTGGATTGGAGGTGCCAAAGTATAACAGAGATGGATTATTGTTGCAAACGCATATTTGCAATTCTAGACTAATAAAAATTTGCAGACTTGAGATCGATTACCTTTTCCTTTTATTTTTTTACATACTAGTCTGAAATGTATCAGCAAATCTTGAATCTCTAATCTCATTTTTTTTTTTTCTTTCTTCTTTTGAATTGATTCCCAATATATATATTTTTCTTTGTATGATAGTGAGTACCCCAAAATGAATGGATTCAAGTGTTTATTTACTATAAACGAGTTCTCTAGAGCTCGTTTTCACAATGGCTTTCCACCCATTTTGCTGGTAAGTGGTCTTGCTTTATCTCAAAAATGTTATTTGCATAATACAGTTACTGCAAAACATTTGTCTATTCATTTACTGCAAAACATTTGTCTATTCATTTACTGCAGCTCAGAGAGCCCAAAGTATTTGTTCATGGAAATATTGCAAACACGGATGTTATGCATAGAAGTTGGCCAGGATGCTCTTGATTTATTGAGGATAGTATATAGTGTAAGAAATTGAAATGATCAATGAATTAGTATACAAATGATCAAAATTCCGACTCTCCAAAGTGCAGCACATCCTTCAATGGATATTGCCCCTAATTCTTATGGAAACTATATTTTTGTGAGAAATTTTCCCGTTTTGAGGTGTAAACATCAGGGTCCATCATATATGAGATTGACAACCCTTTTGAGCTTCATTGGTGTTAAATTATTGCATGAAAACATGTCAATAACTTGGTATATTTGGCTTGGGGTTTTGGGGTGGGTTACATTAAACTTGAAATGTCTCTGACAGATTGTAGTTGGAAGGTGTCTTGTCCCCATATGTCAAAGGTCTTTGTAATTTTTAAGAAAATGGTCACATAGAATTTTTTCTTTTTTCTCTATTTACAGTTTTACCGCTGTGAATGGTTATAATGAGTATGAGTTCCTGAGTCCATTACATAAATTACATGCCCTTTAGGCTCTTACACCTTCGCGCGCGCGCACATGAATGTATTTTATTCTACTAAGAGAGTTCGTTTGATTTGCTAAAAAAAAAATAGATTATTCCTTGCGCATGCTGTGCTAAATTTGCACCTGAATTTACCTAAATGTGCCTTGCACTTCTCATTAATCTAGTTTTGGTCCCTCTTTAATCGTACCAGGCTCTGTTCATTGGGCCGAGTATATCGCTTGTTTTGTAACTATACACTTTTAACTTCCAAAAAATATTTATAAATGAAACAACCTATATTTATGCGGTTGCAAGTAAGCGGTGCAGTTGACAAAAAAGAGAGTTCTGTGATTCCATACATACAGATTCAAATGCTAACGTAACAAATATAAATAGCTGAATGAGACAGACGATTGACTTTGACAACAGTTTTTTGGGTTTTAGAAAATTAAAAACAGAAAACTCATACTTGATTCAGTTTTTTGAAAATTATTTTCTGAATTTTTTAAAACTGTTTTTTGAATTACAAACCAAATAGGCCTAAGATTTCTTGCAAGAAAACGCAGTATAGTTCTGGCATGTGACCAACTAGCAAGTTACTGTCCAATTCTCTAATTAATTAAGACATTTTAATTCAAACAGTAATTCATGTGAATTAAGTTCCCTCAACTAAATTTTCTCCTAACTAATTATTACAGCTTTCGGATTTGTTTCATATGGCAGAAAAACTGATCCGAGTAATGGTGTAATGGTGTAATCGACGTAGTTTCACCTCTTCCTTGACTGAAGGTTGAGAGTGGGTGTGTGTTTTTCCTACCAAAAAGAAAGAGACAGAACTCTTGCTGTCAAATTCCCCACACCTAATAAGGACTAGATTTTCTTTATACTCCTCAATATTCATTAGTGACTACATAGAGGCTATTTTCTTCAAGAACTGCCCTAGCTGTTCTGCCCGACTATCCTATAAGACTTTAGAAAGCCCCCACTTCCCTCCCTTTTAGCTACAATGATCATGATGCCATTTACAACTTTACTGTGGAAATCACCAAGGTTTTTTTCCACAGAGAGAGAGGGGGTACACCATCAGCTCATTGGCTCTTGAAACCAATACCAGAGCCAACATGATCAGCCATCTTTATGAATTGATCTAGCAGCCTTGAAAACTTCCCTAGAGATCTGTTTGCAATTGCTTACCATGAACAACCTAATATTAAAAAGATTTCCGATAAATCACCATTTGAATTTCCATCAAAGGATTTGATCTTGTCTAGTTTAATATAGTGTTAGTATTAATATTCTTAAATTCATTTACCCATAGAATAAGAACAAGGAGGAGATTCTTATGTTCCATATCTGTATAATTTTTTTGCATTGGGATTACTAAAGCTGGCATTCTTACCTTGTCAAAAGGAAATTGTTGCCATACTTAAGAAGGGCATTAGTCAGTGGATTCTCTCAAACTAATCTTTGTAAGAATCTAGCAGAGGAATACACAAAAAATCAGAATAGAAGTTAATTTTTTTGACATTTATAGCCTTGGAAAAATGGAATATATTCTTGTGGGAAGGGGTATCTGTATATCTTATATTTTTGCTGGTACTGGTTTTTATAAACTTGTATTTTAAAGTGCCTCAGTGCAGAAAAGTTTTGATATGATGCTTGTATTTCTTACGTTCTGCATAATATTGCTTAGCTGTTGTGTGCTCATTTTTGAAACCATAAGCTATATTCAAGGGCTAAAAATAAGTGCAGGAAAATAGAAAGAGGAGGGAAAAAAAGAAGTGAAATGAGATCCCTACTTAACAAGGCAGTAAAATTAAGATGGGGCAGCATTCTTTCCCATCTTGTTGTTGATGACTTTTGCTATAACTTCTCTATATATCTGAAGTAACCTTTAATTTCTTGTGGCAAATGTAGGATATGTGGCTGTACTTGGGAAGCCAAATGTTGGAAAGAGTACACTATCAAACCAAATGATAGGACAAAAGCTCTCAATTGTTACAGATAAACCTCAAACTATGAGGCATCGAATCCTTGGTATATGTTCTGGCCCAGAGTATCAGGTTTGAAAATTTCTATGTTTGATGTGATCATGCCTGATTTTACTTATATTGCACATACTTAATTCTCTTTGGTAGAAAAACTAAGCAGTAACATCTGAAGCAACCATTAAGGTGGACTCAATTGGTCAGGAACCACTCAGATCACCCTTGTGGACCTACAGGGGGAATGAGGGACATCAAATGATCAACTATTTTGCCTTGGAATCTTGGAAAATGAGCAATTGGATCAATGAAGCCATATTTGAGCAAAATTTGATGATGTTTTTTAAGTCAAGAGAGACTGTCATTAGGTTGGCAATGGAATACGTTGAAGCCAGTTGATCAGAGGGACGTGAAAGGTTCTGGAAAGAAAGGTTTATTGCTTGGAGCATATCACAATTGAATACGGGGAATGTGGTATGGACTCTTCCTTTAATACTGGGATGTGCGTGAAAATGTGCTTAGACAGCCATTGGCCTTTGAAGGGTTGAAGATGATGGAAGGGTGGGCCTCGAATAATGTTATTGTAGAAACAGATTGGTAGAGCACCCAATTTGGGACAAGCATGGATAAAACTCGTACTAGCTCTTCTACCAAAATTGATATAGGACACTAAGGACAGCATTGTAGAAGCTTCTTTAGGGCAGATTATAATTGATTCTCTTGCGCTTCAGGCTATTGGGTTTTTGTTTTTTAGCATCTGTATATAATGTGAGAAATGTTTATTGTCTTGGTGTTCTAAGAAGGAAAGGCAAAGTTCTGTTTTTTATAGTGGGGTTTTGTACTGTATTCAGTAACTAGGGGCTGTTTTTAGGGTTTTAAGTTTGAATGGTGAAATGGGGAAAGGGTTAGTGCTCATCAAATAATAAATTTAACAAATTAGGGTCTTAATGGCTTTAAAGTGCAGAAAATTTAAGAGAATAAGTAGAGTAGAAGGATAGGCAAATCACAACTAGATTTTCTAGGCATCATACTTTGGGTTAGAATTGCATCACACAGTCCCTGAGTTTCTCTGAGCTGAGCCCAATTGAATTTAAAGCATTTTAAAGCTATATACAAACTCTCAAGTAATCTAACTCTTAACATGACATGAACTGCATATTCAGATACTGAACAGTTTGACCAGAAAAACCTCGTATAAAGTCTGCTTATAAAGACTCAACAGCATAACCTGACTTAAACTTTGACTTGCAGACCTCTACTATGGCTAATGTCCAGAAAAACTTATAATTTACTAAGTAATCCTAAATCTTATATGGTTGTACTCTTTTTATTATGTTAGTCTCATAAAAGAAAACCAAGGAAAGAAATAAAAAGAAATTTTCGTATCTGATAGATTTGGTACATGTTTCATGCTTTTGAACACATGTTCCACAACATAGACCAAGAGTATATTTTTGTTTTCTCGTGGCTGTCTTATTTTGGTTTGCAAGGAGTGAAACATTTGTGCTTTGGAAACCTTTAGGCAGGTTCACTTTTTCCCTGACTGTCTCACTATTTACAGCTTGACCCGTGTATTGAGTTTTGCTGTTTATGAAAGGCCCCTATAAGCACGGACATGGGATACGGATACGACAAAATACAAACACAACAATATGACAATTTCTTAAAAAATTGGATATAGATATGACAAGGGCATGACATATATATATATTATAGATGCAAATATGTATAAAAATCAATATATATATATATATATATAAGTGTCGATGGATAAATTTAAATAGTAATTTATTATGTAATATATATTGTTATTAACAATTCTTTATAAAATACTATGACCAACAAGATAGGAGTTGAGAGTTATGTTGCGTGGATAAAAATTTGGACTAAATTAGTCATGATATACATCTCAAATTCTCAACCATACTTCTTTTTTGAAGATGTTTTGAACTTTTCTTCACAATTATAATTTATACTATGATATTATTCTTGAAAAGTTACAGTTTAATGTGCAAAACTTGTTAAATATGTATTGTAAAGTATCTGAAAATTATCTGATACGTTATCAAATATCTGAGAAATATTGAATATGTTTTTTCTTTATAAGTAAGAAGTTATCAAAATATCTGAGAAGTATTGGATATGTGATGAAGGACAAGTAGGAACCAGATAGAAATAAAGGGATGAGAAAATAGAAGAAGAGATAAACTAGAAGAAGGGGATGAAAAAACAGACGAAGGGGGCTGAGAGCAGAGTGAATAGATAGGCAGGATAGACGGAATAGATGAGAAAAGCAGGAACATAAATGGGAGAAGTAAAAGAACACAGAGAGAACTCAGAGAAAGCAATAATCCAATAATGTTCCAAAACTGAGTTCTCAAATTACAAAGAAGCCTTTAAATAGGCAAATTATTAAGCAAATCCTAAAACATAAAAATACCATAATTCAAACATTATTAAAAGTAACAATAAGCATAAAAACCCTAAATTACTAAAATCCCTAATGTTATTTCTCTTTCCCTCTTCTCCAAAAGTAATGTTGAAGCATGTGCAACTCATGTATTTGAATCATATCATGTTCCCCATCAATATGTTTTAGAAAGAAAAAATAAATTTATAATTATAGATACATTTAGAAAGTATCGAACACATATCCGTAAGTATGATACGAGTACGTCACTCTTTTAGAAATTAGAAGTATCACAGAAAAGCCCCCTGCTGCCTCTCAGAGGTTCTGACTGTATTTTTCCATATGACTTTAATTTATAATTTTTCCTCGTGCTGTATCCCACTGCATACGTGTCATTGCCATTTATGATTTGAATTTTATGTCCCAAACATTGTTTACTTCCACAATTTGTTTTTGTGTGGATTTCCATGCAAGAAATATCTCATCATGCTATTTAAAATAATTTGTCTTAGCTGTGATTTACTTGTAGATGATTCTTTATGACACACCTGGAGTTATTGAGAAGAAATTGCACAAATTGGATTCTATGATGATGAACAATGTCCGTAGCGCTGCCATTAATGCAGATTGTGTTTTGGTGGTTGTTGATGCGTGTAAGGATCCCCAAAAGGTGCTTCTTCATCTGGAAAAATTGTTCTTAAAACATTGTCTCCCTTTCCTAAATATATTTGTCTGCTTTTAGATTGATGAAGTGTTGGAAGAGGGTGCGGGAAACCTCAAAGATAAGGTACCGAAATTACTGGTTTTGAATAAGAGGGACCTGATCAAACCTGGTGAAATGGCAAAGAAACTTGAGGTTAGAACTTGTCAGTATCTATTATTGTGTAGCCTGAATAGCTACACTTTTTTTTGTAGCTTGATGTATCATTGTTAATGTAACAAAAACAAAACAAAAAAACAAAAAAAACTGGTATATGGAATGTTATGTTTATAATCTCTAATTTATAGGTCCCAAATACTGTTCTCGTCATAACAGAAATCCATGGTCACTCTTCACTGGTGGCATAAGGTGGGTACTTAAGTTGTATCCTAATTCGACATTGTATATCTTGCAGTGGTACGAGAAATTCACCGTTGTTGATGAGGTCATACCAGTGAGTGCTAAATATGGTCATGGAGTGGATGATGTCAAGGACTGGATACTATCAAAACTTCCAGTTGGGCCAGCTTATTATCCGAAGGTATATAACGAGTCCACTTTTGTTCTTGTTGTCTTCCTTCTCCTTGAAAGATGAAGACTGGTAATCTTTTAAAAGCATGTTTTTCTAATTATCATAATTCCAGTGTAACCATTTACCAACTGTTGGAAATTAACAACTTGAACCCTTTGGTTGTTTGTATTCCATGATGCAAGGCACATTGCCTCCTCAAAAGTACATGATGAAAACGAAAAGTAAAATAAAAATTGAAAACTCAGAAGAGGGATAGAAAAGGAAGGAAGCAATTTGAACTTGTAGCATAAGAACTATGTCAATTTCTATATTGGTTGTTCATGACTGAAAGAAGCACACTATGTTAGTCTTAAACTTCTTCCATCTGATGAATATACAAAAATTTATAGATGTAGTCTTAAGTTTAGCTTCAAATTAGTGCCTGTGAGCCCTAAAAACAGATATGGTTAAGCATCTTTCATTTTACTCTTAAGACCGTGTGCCTTGAGAGGGGTTGAATGAGGTTGATAGCTGGCAGGATTTTTGGTGAAATTACTTGCATATATCTAAGATTAGTTGTTCAAATGCTGGCGTTTACAAGTCCTCGAATTAGTTTGATTAGATGTTACTTTGGAAGCTAAATCAAGATAAAAAGTGAAATTGAAGTGGCTACATGTTGCTTTGTAAAGCTCATAGATGACCTAGATTATCCCTGGAATTTCTATTGGCTACTTCGATTTGTAATCGAGTCACCCTCAGTTTGAGTCAGTGTTGAGAAATAATATATGACAAAGGAGTAAAACTGTACTTTCAGATTGGTATAGTAATAATGTAAATGGAGTGTCTCTCAGGTTTTGCTCCTTCCGTTTCCTTTCTCTTATTCCAGGCAGGATAGATACTTGATATGACAGAAGAGCAGATATCCAATTAGGCAAACACATTTTGTCCCCTCCTCTATTTTTCCTTTCTTCTTGACCCTTTTTTTGTCGTCATAACGTAAAAGGTCTGAGTTTTTGGGAAAAGAAGGGTTCTGAGTTTTGTAACAATCTGGGAATGATAGATACTGTACTCCAGCCTGAGTGAAAGTGTTGAGAAATGATATAAGGTAGAGGGATAAAATTGTAATTTCAGTTTGGTTTAGAAATGATATTGAGAGATTAGAGCAACCCTTGACAGGGATTATGCTCTCTCAGTTTTTCCTTTTTCTTCCTCTCTTGTATTAAGGTACCCAAGACACCTGATGGTTATATTAAGAAGTTTCACAGAGCACATAGAGAAATGTTAAAAAAAAACTGTGACCTGACATTTCTTTCCCCTATAATAAACAAGTTGTGCAGTATATACTTCATTGACAGTAGTATTAAAATTTTTTTTTGAGAATTGTTTGAAATCATTATATATGGAGTTTCTAGATTAAATAGGACATGCATGACAAGCCTTGCAGGGAATGGGTTGATCAAAATGCCTTCCACATTTTCTTCTAGTCCATTACAATTTTTTTGGGATAAATTTTGAGAACATAAAAATGCATCAAGGAATATGTTGTGAAAGATCTCAACGGTTGTAGGTTTGGCAATGACTGAAGCTTTTACTTATGGGGTTTTGGCTTTAATTTTGATCACCTAGCCAATATCATTTAGAATAAATTAATTTCCCTACTTGTTTCTGACTATCCATGTCTCTCATCTTAAGATGAATATACTGTACATTTTCTTTTCTTTTTACTTTTTTTGACTTGACAATTTGATATATAAAAATCGTTTGTTGCATATTACAACTTACCATTGCTTTCCTTGTGTTCTCAGGATATTGCTAGTGAGCACCCAGAAAGATTTTTTGTAGCTGAAATTATCAGAGAAAAAATCTTTATGCAATACCGAGACGAAGTTCCTTATGCCTGTCAGGTATACCTAAATTTTTTGAAAACCTAAAGCTTCTTATTATTATTTAAAATTTCACTTGGTGCTGTTTATATTTTTTCAGAAGTTTATATCTAACAAAGAAGTGTGGTTGATCAATCTTTGAATTGTACAGGTCAACGTTGTCAACTACAAAACTAGACCAACTGCAATAGATTTTATTCAAGTTGAGATTATTGTTGAGAAAAACTCACAGAAGATCATCCTCATCGGAAAGGTAAGTTAAAGCTTTCTTCAATGGGATACTTTTTAATATGAATTAATAATTGGCTTCTTTGTGTGTTCTCATGAAATGGTGGGATTAGATTTTTTTTTTTTTTTTTTTTACTAGTTGGTACTCACACACACTACCTCCACTGAGGTTCGAACCCTTAACCTTCCTTTGGGAAGTAGGGGCCTTGTACCGCTAGGCCACAGGCCTGTTGGTGGGATTAGATTGTTGAGATTGTCTTGGCTTTAACAAGAAGTTGAGCAGCTTAAGGAGAGGGGAGGACTGAGGAGGAGGTGTATTTCATGAAAGAGGAAGTTACCAAGAGTCAAAAGGTTCCTTACCAAGTATCTAGGATTTAGTCCTCTTGGACCAAGGCCAATTGTGCTTTATTAGGACTTCCACAGATGTGTGGTATTGGAAGTGGTTGGCTGCTCAGATATACTGCTGTCTGGAGCCAATCACTAGGCTTACAGAGCTGTCCATGGCAAGGCCTGTAAGGGAGCCGATGCAGGACTTGTAGGGTCAGCAATAGTGGAGTTACTCTGAAACTGCAAAGTAGTTTGTGCATCAACAATGATGTGGAAATCATCCTGGGGATAATGGAGAATTCTCCATCCTCTTAGGGAAGCTGGAGTGGCTAGATTCTTGTGTCAGGTGAGAGTTGCACTGCTTTCCCTGAAATCCATCTAATCAGTTACCAAATTAAGGTCATCAAATCTAATACACACACACACTTGGCAGTTGTCTAGGAGCAAGGTACAGCCTCTTGAAGTAGAATACGTTTGAATTGGGCATTTGGGACACAATACTTTGGCCTGTGTCTCTAGGCAGGGAGACCGTATCTTTTTTTGTGACAAACCACATGGTAGGCTGTGATTGGTCACATGGTAGTGCAAGGAATGGGCTGTCTACAATAATTCTAGATATTCTGTTGGCCTATGCTTATTTTATCTGCATGGTAGCATGTAGTATTATTACTAGGCCTGTATGGAATCTATAAGACTACTATTCCTTGGGTTTTAAAAAAGAAAAAGTCCAGACTTGGAACTTTGTGACTGCTTGAACTTCCAAATTTCTATGCTTTATGTTGTAAATCTCTTTCATTAGTGTCTACCTTTGTCATCGTTTGTTTTATATTTAGCTTTAGTTTGTATTGGAAATTACAGTGTAATTCATCCTAATCCTTGAAAAGGTTTTACATTTGATCAGACATCGATGACAGTCTTGTTTGAAATTATAGTGACATCCCAAAACACTTTCAAGATGCTTAACCTATTTGTTGAATGATGTGACAGTGTTCAAAATATTGAAATGTTGAGAATCCTCCTATATTATTTGAAACTGGAATGGCATGTTTGAAATTATATGTGTGTGTCTGTGATCACGTGTGTTCTGAATTTCTACAGGATGGGAAAGGTCTGAAACTACTGGCTACAGCTGCTCAGCTTGACATTGAAGATTTCTTGCAGAAGAAGGTTTTTTTGGAGGTACCAACAAATTTTAAGTTTTTTTTTTTTTTTATCACTGAGCGGTTGTCACGAATATATTTAATTAAGAATTACTGGTATCCCAAGTTCCCAACTAAATAGTGCAGACCATACTGTCAGTGACAGTGATTTAAGCCTGCTGATTTCTTGCTGCCAATTGTTCCAAGTGGTCGGTTTTAATAGTTTTGAGTTGGAAATGACATGTTCAAGGCAACTCATTTATCGAACAGGTTGAAGTGAAGGTAAAAGAAAATTGGCGGCAAGATGAAGGACTTCTGAAGCATTATGGATATGGAGGGCCAATTCGAGCATTATAATGCTGTGTTTCCATTGCACTCGATACAAATTGCAGTGAAGATGATCGTGTAATTGGAAACTCATGATTTAGTGTGCATTAAGTGATTATGTGATGATGTTTCTTATTTGGTAGTGTGATCAAGTTGGAAATTGCAGAAGCTTGTCATCGATCTTCTCAATAGCTGGAGTCAGGTACTGTAATATTCATTGTGAATCGCTCTTAGGCCACGGTGTTGGGTACCGCACAGTATTGTATTTTCTTTACTATTTTGGTGTTAGTTTTAGGTATCTTCTTTCCCTTTCCCTTGGCATTACGTCAACGTGGATCACGTCACTTTTTTATTTGGCAAAATTTTTTGGTCTTCGATTATCCAAAGTGAGGTCATTACCCCCTTAGTTGGTAAGGCACTTAGTTCTCTGATTGGGTGTGCCCGTGTTCGAGTCCCTCCCCTAATTTGTCGGGAAAAAAAAAATTACTGGCTTAGGTGGCTAATCTCTGATAGTTATGCTTGCATGGAGATGGAGCCATGGACTCGCATCAGTCTTTGTTATCCTACAACTGCTTCCCCGGCTTGTACTTCATGGACTAATTTATTCTTTTGTTAAAACGTAGTCAAGTTTATGGAACCAACCCTGCTTGCAATACGAATATCATTTATGTTACTTCTATTTTTTATTTATTTGGAGCATGTAGATTTCTTGAAGAAAAAATTAAGATGGTTTGTTGACTTCAATAGCATGTTCTTTAGGCTCTTCTGTTTTGAAGTAAAATATTTTTAAAAATATATATATATATATATGTATATATATATTTTGATGTTTGGTTGTCGTAAAATATGTACAAAGAAAAAAAAATATTAAAACCTAACAAAAATAACTTATCCATTAATTTTTGATAAATTATTTTATACAACTTACCTGATGGAATTCACCTAGACTTTTGCTGAACATATAAAAAAAAATAAAAAATAAAAAATAAAAATAAAAAAAATTGCTGGAAGATAGATTACAGTAAAACAAACTAGTCCAAGTTTGTTAAGTGAAGAGAAGATAATAAAATAGGGGAAAAAGAGGTGATCGCAATCTAGTCCAAGTTTGTTTATTGGGGGATGCAATGTACTCAACTTGTTCCGGAAGAGAGAAGAGACAAGAAAGCTTAAGAACTTTATTGATTTGGTCAGAAGATATGATCCTCATTCATAGCCCCACTTATATTTGGTTTTTATTGTTGTACTTGTATCTAAATTACCCCACTTTTGAGGTGCCAGTTTTCATGGACCCCAATGCTAGTTTTGTTTCTTTTCTCTTCCATTCTTTCCTCTTAAAGGGCAATCTCAATGCATAAGGATCGGAGTTTAGATATTTTCGTATGTCCGAAAACTATTTCCGCTATAACCTTTGGTCACAATGGAACATAATTGAAATTCAAGGATTGGAGAGTTTAAAATTGATTTGTGTGCATGTGTCTGCAGAATCAGCACTAGGTTTTGCTTCGAGGATTCTGGAGAATGGATTGTGGCAATGGAATTGGAAGAAAATGAGTCTCTGTGATTGGAACAATTATAGGTGAGACGATGGATAAGGTTGAGAGATAGGTTGAGCCATTGAGGAATAGTAGGGTTTGTGGAGAAGTCATCATCTTTCTTATTTTTGCTTTTTTATTGCTGTGAGAAATCCGAGAGAGAGATTATCTTACCATAGATGATCCTAGAGTTGAGTGAATTGCCTAAATTTATAGTATCATATATATATATATATATAGATATACATAAATAGATCGGACCTAAGCTGACCAAATTAATGTAAAGTTGGGTTGAGTTTGAGTCGAGTTGAAGTGATGTGTGTGTGGCTGTGGCGTGCATCTTTTCTGTGTTTACTATAAATAGTTCTGATGTTTTCCTGCTATTTACTTTGTATAGAGATGACACGGCATCTGAGGCAACAAAGGACGAAAAGGCAGAGGTGGGTGTGGGGTTCTGTTTCTGCTGCTATTACACTTGGCACGGCTACCTTAGCATGGTCTTCTTACCAATCAACTGTAAATTGATCATCTTCTTACCACGACCATGCAACCGAGTGATGACCTTCCAATCGAATTGCTAGCTGAATGTAATACTGCATAAGCAAGTCAACAAGAGGTCAGACATGCCATCTTGTGAATACCACCAATGTCGAGCTATTCTTTTTCTTGTTGTTGCATGGTTTCTGTGCCGTAGAGCCTCTATGCAATCAGATGATTGGGGAATAGGTAAAGTACTTGGAAACATTCAAATCTGCTGGATGTTTCTTCAAGTAGTTACTGAACTAAGGAATAGATAAAATGTCCTGCTCGTGGAGAGGGCTTTTGGATTCAACTGATACGTCACTCGTTTGCATCTCTACTTTACGGTCCAACTGATGTGTCATGCCTCTCTGAGTAGTGCTATCTGGTCCAGAGCATCTTCAACTCAGCATGGGGTTATGCAACCAAAGATGATGACTCAAAAGAATCAACAGCTGGTAGGGTACGTCTATAATTACCTTTGCACAGCTTTAGCATGGGTGCTAATTTGAAATATTTATGATTCTGTATTTTTTAACCTTTTGAGTACAATTTACTTTAATTTTATTGTAGCTCAATTCCACCAGTCTAACAAAATTTAATTGAGGTGTTAATGTGTTGATTTCCCACCCACTTACTGGGTCACTGCTGGAATAAGATCAACCTTAAATCTGAAGGAATTTTTTTTTTAATTGGCCTAAATCATCTTATTTGAGAAAATGTTGGATTGTATGATGATATCCATCCGGTTGGTGAACCAATATAGCACTCGGGACAGGTGCTAAAGGTCAAATTAAATACTCCAAGATATATATATATATATACATCTATTTCCGATGAAATGCAGATGTCTGCCTGACCCAGTTTGATTGTGTAGATTACTTATATGGGAGATATCAGATACGGTAATGGTGGCAAATGGCAATGGACCTGGCTGGCTGCCATTGTTTCTCTTCATAATACTGCTTGGTTTCAGGTGTCACGTCCTGGAAGAGACTTGGTGAAGAAAAGATGTTTGCAACGTAGAGGTTTATGGAGTACTCATCCCACTGCTTGCTTGCGGGAAGTAGTTTCTGATGCTTCTGATTCTTCACCTCTCCGATCAATCAGGCATTTATGGAGTACTGTTTGGTCTTGTTGCTGATACATGTCCTCTTGTGGGTTTATATAGCTAGGAAGAATAAAGGCGGAGAAGAGCATAGTCTAAAATAAGTTAAAATAGTTTGAAAATAATGAAAAAATTGTTGATTGGTAATAAGCACCTATTGGCTTTTAATTGTTCCTTGGAGTTCAAATTTACTTCCATAAATCTCTATTTTGCGGCTGAGAATATGCTGCTCAATTGATCCCCAACTTATAATGAGAATTTTCAAACCAGAGTAAAAATAATTTATATTATTAAAATGCAATTTGGGCAGTTAATCCAATCCTAATATGAGTTGATGCCAATTTTTTGAGAAGTGGTGTGGTGTGTTCAATCAAAATTTAAAGGTGTCAATAATCATTTGAGCCTAGGGGCACAAGAAACACATACGTTTGCTAACCGTGTTACCAACTCATTCTAATTCTGATGCCTCAAATCTCTCATTCATTTTCTCCCTCTGGATGTATTCATGTTCTCTCACGCCTGAAATAAATGGTTTCCTTATCAATATAACTCTATACACTTAAATCCCCAAAATCATAAAACACACTTAGTAGACACAAACTATATATATATATATATTTCCTCTGAAAATAAAATCTATTAAAGGATAATTTTTGAAATCATTTAAATGGACATTAGTTAAAAACACCTCTGAAAATAATAGAGGTGAGTTTTTTTACTAAAAATATTGATAAGAGAATTTTTCGCAACTATCTAATAATGGAGGATTTTTATTTTACAATTTGTCCAAAAATTTTAGATCAAGTGATATGTCCTAAGTTAGAATCTTACTCCCACGAGAATTAGTACGCACACGTTACTAATTTGACATTTCATAAGCATGCATATGAGATACTCCAATTAATTTATTAATTTTTTTATTTAGATTTATTTTTCCAAATTCTAATGTCAAGTAATGATTATAATGATAGTATTCTAAAAGATTAAGGATATGAAACAGTAAAAATTGAATTAATTTTATTTAAGTAGAGAGTAATGTCATAATATTAATGGTATCATAGTAATCAGCTCCACTTATATGTATAATATTAAAAATTAATAAAGAATAACTATATAAGAGGAATTTATAAATAAACAAATTATTAGTGGATTAAGAGATTTCCTATTTTATCCTATGCTTTTTTACTTCCAAACCAAGATACCATTAAGGTAACTTTTTACTTTAATTTCCTAAAATTATAGACTAACCGCCTTCGATTCCCTCTCTCTTATCCATCTGCGCCTAATCTGTCTCCTCTCTGCCAAATTAGTAGTAACCGCCTTCAATTCCCTCTCTCTCTCTTCTTCATCTGCGCCTAATCTGTCTCCTCTCTGCGAAATTAGTAGTAACCGCCTTCAATTCCCTAACCCTCTCTCCTCCATCTGCGCCTGACTCCTTTTTATTCGCTTGCTGAGCATGACTTCTTTGTCACAAATAGAAAGTCGAATCCATCGCATCAAATAGAAGGGACGAATCATTTACTTATTCATTCATTGAGCACTGGCCTGATCCAGTTCCAAGAAACCAACCCTATAAGAGAAGGTATAGTTGGCTGTACTCATTCTTACCTCTTAGTGATCACTCATCAACCCCAAGCAGGAAAGGCCTTCTTTGTACGGCGAATCGCCAATAGAATTCAAATCTGACTGTGGTCCATACTTCGCATCCAAGGGGCACTCCTGCCCATAGAGCATCATCTTTCTCCCCCATCTGCGCCTGATCTCTCTCCTCCATCTCCGGCCCTCTTCTCTGCTATGGCCGCCACCACAAAAAAGCTCTATGTATGGGTTAACGGCTATGGTAATAACGGAGGTGATGATGGTAAGTATCTGCCTTGCATCAACGTCGAATTCAACTTCCGTGTGGAGCAGACTTATCAAAGCAGAACCAGAGGCCTCATCACCCGACACGGTATCGGAGAGATCTCATCACGACGTCCATACAAGTACTTCACCTATGATTTGCTCTACACAATGATCCATGGCATGAAAATCCCCTTCCCTTTAGAGAAGATGCTCTGTGAGCCAACTGAGTTGGAGAACACCAACGACCTAATCCTGCATGTTTTGGACGTGGCTAGTTGCACGGTCAATAGATTTTGCAACTCCGGTCAGAAGCTATTCAGATTGGACATATACATTGTTAATAGACTGATTTTACCCCATGCTGAATTTGAAGCAATAAACCTTGCAAAGGAGCAGGTAGAACGTTGGTTTCAACTTCATCAGAAGGTTAATCAGATGATACTGTCCAAATCATTTTCGGACTTTGGTTTGATCCACGGGGAAATAGGAAGAATAGTGAGGGAAACAGCTCATGATCAAGATTTGGAATTGTCATTGTTGGAACTAGCTATGAGGGAGTACTTTCAGGAGACAGTAGAGCCCGTGAGATTTGAAGGTGACATTGATGATCATGGTGAGGAGGAGGAGGAAGTACTCTGTGTTATATGTAAGGATGAAATCCTCGTTGGGTCTCGAGTCATTCGGATGGCATGCTCTCGTATCTACCATGTCCAGTGCATCGCAGAGTGGCTGCCATTGTGTCGCTTCAAGTCGTCAATCAACAAGTCTGAGGTATCTTAGTAGTTAGTGGTAGCATATATGGATTTCAGTATTTGTAATTAAACACAAGAACAGGGTGCTCTGTACATTCATAATTGTGAATTACTGACTTCAGTGTAAAAGAATTAGTATAGTTTTGGTCAATATGGTTACGAGATTATGGATTGGATTCATTGTTTAATTTGCTCTCTTCAAATGGGCTTTTGGATCGTTTCTTTTTTCTGGGTTGCATATGTATG